CTGCATTTTCAAGGACTCAGTGGGAGTTGCTGTGGTCTCTGATTAGGATGTAGGAACTTGGTTCTCTCAAAGTAGCGTGAAGGCCTCTCAGACACAGGGTGCACGTCTAAGAAAAAGCCACTGGCACCACGACCAGGCAAACTCAGAGATCACCCCCCTGTTGGGCTGACTGAAGCCCAGAGGCTGCCCCCCTGAGGATCCCCGCCTGGGTGGTAAGGTCAGGCGAGCTGCTGTGTGTCTTCCTGTGCTCTCAGCACACTGCTTTGATTCAGTGCACAGGCGGCTCATCCCTTTCTGCATAAAATACTAACATAAAAGCAATCCAATAGTCCTAGTAAGACAGGGATCTTACAGTTGTCTACAGAACAAATGAAGAATAGTTTATTTTTGAAGAAAAATTTATTTTAGGGGAAACAAATTAATTTTCATTAGCATCTACTTTATATCCCATATACAATTCAAGAAAGTTTAGATTCTACGAAAGAAGAGACAAAAAATGAGACAGTAGGCTTCAGTGAAAGGGCTGCTGGTGAGCAGGTGATGTTGGGATAGTAACCACACTTCTACAGATGTGGGGACTTTTCCTCCCATGGCAGGGAGGGTTTGAGTGAGCATCTGTGGTCTCCCCACCCATCCACTCACTTCCGCTCCAGTGGGAGGAGTGGCTGTTGTGCCTGGTCGCGTTGGGGGTTTTCACAGGACCGCAGCTGGGTATTGCCACTCTAACTCAAGGGCAGGAAGGGGTCCCCCAGAGTGTCTTGGGCCTGCCCTTACTCAAGGCCCTTCTGGGATTTGCTCTTCACTGTGTGCAGGTGTGCACGTCGCAGGGCTCGCTGGGCTAATACAGTTCTCCCACAGGTATGTCACAAGGTTTCAGGGTAAAGAAAAGGCCCCACTTCGTCCTTGAGACTAAAACCTGTTCTTCCATTTGGCCTTAATCATTTGCCCTTTGAGGTTATTGGGTATTTTCCCAGCCATTAGAACAGCTGGTATTTGATCCCCATTTGTGAATTTTGTGCCTACTCTGTTCATTGAAATTGAAGGGTGGTTGAGAGGAGTGGTGTCTTACTGTCCCAAATAAGAAAAATTTAAAGGGAATGAAAATATAGCAATATGTTTTCTTAACTTTTTTATTTTTGAAATAATTTCAAGCTTAGGAAAAAGTTGAAAGAATAATACCATGAATTCCCACTTACTTTTCTCCTAGATTTCTCTTTAGTTAATGTTACCACTACCCCATCCATACTCATTATCATTCTGTCTCTGTGTGTGTTGTATTTATGTATATGTACACGTTATATGTATGTATACACACACACACACACACACACAAAACTAGAAACCAGTGCATGTATTGATTGGGTGTTTTGTGGAGACAGGGAACCAGCCATTTGTAATGTTTATATAGGAAAAACTTAAATACACAAATAGCCAGGAAAATATGAAAAACAAGGTTAATGATTCATTAAAACAAATTCATAAAAGAGAATTAGATCCAAATATATATAGGAATTTAAAATTTGATTAAAGTGGCATTCTAAATAAATAGGGGAATAAGAATTATTTAATAAATTATGTTGGAGAATGCATCTGGGAAATTGAAAGCTGAATTTCTATCTCAGACCTTACACCAAAATGAGTTCCATGAGTCAGAGACCTAAATAGCGCAGTGAGGGGACTTAGGGCTGTGTTACCAGGCAGGAGTATGAAGTGCCTGAAGCTTCTGAAAGTTTCTGCCCCAACACCTTGTCTCTACTTACTGGCCTCTCACAAGGAGAGTGGCATGAGCTTGGACCTGATAGCAGGTATATGAAACTCCTGAGGCTAAAAACATGTATTTCTGTTAGACTACAATATATGTGTTCCTGGAAAGCCTGTGTTCTGCAGAAAATGCACAATAAAATTATAGGTTTGTTGGGAAAATAGGGTTGGGGCAGGTCGCTCAATACCTGTGCAGTTTTGACCCTAGAATGCTAGCCAGGACAACATTTGGTGCCTTTGGGCATCCAGGGCAGGCACTGGGGCTGGAGGCTGCCTCAGGGGTTATGAAAAATGCACAGAAACCATCGTGGAAATGTTGAGATTAAGTCCCAGCAAAGGAAACTGAGCTCTGACCCAGTTAAGGCGGGTCCGGAAGGTGGCCCCACATGCTGTTACCTGAGTTCTGAGCCGAACCCAAGACCTGGGGGGTGGATATTTGCAAACTTCCACATTTCTACTAACATAGGTCCCTTATTTATCAATCACAAAACAGCTACTGATGTCATAGAAAAATAACTAGATAATTTATCTTTGTCCTTAAATTTTTTAAAATGACCATGATTTGGAAAGCACTGTTTGAAATATAAATTTTTTGTATTATTAATAATAATAACATGTCATTAGAAAAATGAGGGAAAGAGAAGTTAAGGAACCTGCCCATGGTTCCAGTAAGTGGCAGAGCAAAGGTTAGGAGTCAGGTAGTTTAGATGAAAAGTTACTTAGCCATGATCCTAGGCTAGCTTTTTCTAACACAGGCATAATTATCTCCATTGCACATATGGAAACTGAGGTGTGATCCAGCATGAGATGTGACCAATATTAGCTATGTAGTCACATAGTTAATAACTGGCAAAGCTAGAATTTGAACCTAGATATCTCCTTCCAAAAGCACTGTTTCCTCAAAATTCTCTACCTACATCTCAGCGTTCTTTCTTGGCAACTCCTTATCACAGCCTTTAAACTTAGGAGTTCCTCAGGATTACAAGTGTAGTTCTTATCATTCATGCCCAGGATCTCAATAATATTGATACATGAAACATCAAACCAATTTTTCCAGTCCCCGCTTTTCTTCTGTATTCCAGACAGGTATATCCAACTGCCAAATTTACAGATCTACTTAATATCACAGATACAACCCATGTGTTGCAAATGAACTTTGCTTGTCCAGTTTGTTTTCCTTCCACTGTTTCTCAGAGCAATGAATAAGACAGGCAAATTCCCATATTCTGGTAGCTTACAGTTTAGTGGGAGAGCCACTCACAAGGGAATCACATCCTACTCACATTTAAACTACATAAATTTAATCAATTATGTAATTATTCTTGGGTTGGCAGATGGAGAGAGAACCATTAAAATACTGTAACTAAGCAATAATTTAGTAACTCAAATTATGACACATCTGGTACTCAGGGAGCATTTATCAAAACTGTACTACTGTAATAAGGAAATGTACCAGTTATGATGAAAATGTACAGTAGGGAGAATGAAACTAGCTGAGGGGATCAGGTGCACTTTTTCCAGAAAGTAACTCTAAGCCAGTGCAGAAAGGTGGGAATTATCCTGGTCTATGTGTTGGTGGGGGTGGGTGAGGAGGAAGAGCTTTCCTGGTAGAGGGAATGGCATGTGTGATGACCCTGCAGTAAGAAAGGAATGGATGTTTAAGGAACTGAAAACAGTGGCGAGGAGCATAGCAAGCCCACAGGAAGTGTGATTATACAAAGATGGAAGAAGAGGCAGGCAAAATCACATCCCACTGGGTTTTGAAGACACACACGGCTGTAGGGTGTAGGCAGCCTAACCACATGAAGGGTATGGAGACTGAAAACTGGCATACACATGCCCCATCTACAGAGGCCAGCAGCTACTCAACTCTAGATGCAATGGAGGAAAGCTGGTTCAGGGTGCCCCGATCTTCTAATTTTTTAAGCAAAACCAGAAATCTGGACTTTAATATGCAATCCTCCATATTCTTAATATTAGCGTCCAATTTTCAAAAATTAAGACATTGTGATGGCAAGCAGACCACACATCAGCTGTTTAGTTGGGATCTGTGGCCACCAATTTTCAATATGATTATATTTTAACATATTGCAGTTTAGTATGAGTTCATAATGATACACATAAAAAGTGAAGATGTCAATAGACAATGTTATACAACATAGGTCCTGAGTTGAGAAGAGAGGTGTATGCAATGGACTTCATTCTACTGTATTATCCAATCTTAGCTCTGTTTTCCGATTTAATATTTTGTAACATCTTTCAAACACGGTCTGGACTACCTCGTGTTAAAACTGTAAAGAAAAAAGTCTTAATCACCATAACCAACTTCATCCCTGAAAATGCTGCTCTAGTGTCCCTTTCACTTTGAGGCTGTCCAGACGCTCCTGTTCATGCCAGATGCAGGTCCTCTTCCTTTCAGGGAGCCGGCGCTCGCCTGCGCCACAGCATCTCTGTGTTGAATTCAGTCTGCAGCTGGACTGGGAACAGATCAAGAGGAGACACAGTATCTTATTAATTTGGAACCTGGCAGACCGATCTGTGGGCATAATGGTTGAAGAGTGAAGTGGAAAGATATTTTTGAGCCCATACGTGCACTGCTCTTAGGATACGAGGGGTAAGCTGTACAGATTACTGGAATGATGGGTGACCGACCAGGGAAGGACTCATAAGACCCCCTCCCTCTCCCACCATACTGGCAAAGATAACGGTCAGTTGCTGAGCAAAATAGTTTGGGAAACTCTTCAGTCGGACCAACGGTGAATCTCAAACATCTCTACACCGCTGAAATCTTTTCGCTCCTGCTCTATCCCTTTCTTAAAGGCTGTACTTTCGCCCCCAAAGTTTCCTAAGAAAAAAAGGACGGGCATTGATTTTCCCGGCTCCTTCGCAGACCTTTCCTCCTTGCGTCGCTTGGTCTCAGTCCTAGCCGCTTTCCATGCACCCTGTCGCTAACTTTTCCTTTCTGCATGAGAACCTACATCGTGTATGTACGGTTGCTCTCTGGGGCTCCCAGCAGAGGGGTGGCCAGAGACCACGGGACGTACAGACATTTCGTTGCAGAAGGTGGGTAGCGGCAAGATCAACCTTCCAGCTTTCCGGAATCCCAGTTGCCCCAGCCTCTAGGACCGCGCGCGTCCAGCGGGGATTGGGGGTGTGGCTTCGAGGGCCTCGTACCTGGATTGGCTCCAAGCGGCAGGTCCCAGGCCAATCAGGAGCGGGGGAGGACCCCGTGGCGGGGCTTAGGTCTCCCGCCTGGCGCACAGCGTGTTCCGGGGTTCCAGGCTGTCCAGGGACTGGGCGACCCTGCTTGCTGCGGGCGGCTGCTGACCCTCGTCCTCCCGGTCAGGGGGCCAAGATAATGGCCTCCGTCCGTGTGGCAGCGGCAAGACGGGGCCTCTGCCGAGCCTCTCTGCTCCTCCTCCGGCGCCGCTACCAGACGGAGAAAGGGGTCTACGGCTACCGGCCGAGGAAGCCCCAGAGATGGGAGCCCCAGGGTGGCCTGGCGCGCCCCCCAGGTCGGAAATGGAGCCAGGCCGTGGGCCTGGCGTCTGGGGAGGCAGGGAATCCCACTGCCGGGCCCGCCGTGGGGTGCAGTTGAGGGGAGGTCGGCCTTTAGGGGGCCTGAGTGAATGCGCAAGCTGTTGGGGAGGAAGGGGAGGCGAGTGGGCTGAGGACGCGACGAGGCTGGTGTCGTCAGTGTCCGGTTACCCTCAGTCCTGCCTCAGTAGTTCGGGAACCTTGAGGCCGGTCTCTCAGTGTTGGTTCCACGCTCGCGCTTGTATTTTCTTCCCATCTTTCGAGTTCTGACTGGTTTTGTGAGGTCTTGTCTTTTTTATTCCTTGGTTGCAAACGTGTGGGAACTTAGCTCTTTGTGGAGGCGGGGCTGCAGGAAAAGGAAAGTTCTAAGATTTCCCAGCTCCTCTAATTTGCCCAAGGATACGTTTCCAGGGCTGTATCCAAGGCTCGTGTGAGAGGAACGTGTAGAGGTCACGACTGGACCACAGGGCTGAAGAGGGCAGTTCGTTGGTGGTCTTGGACAGCATGGTATTTATTATTATCTGTCTCCGCGGTCTAACTAGCTTCTTACTATAATTTCAGAGTTTAAAACTCTTTGCTGAATTTAGGACACTGTTACTGGTGTAAATTTTAATAGATTAGGAGACATAAATATCAGTTTTTGGAACCTTTCTTGCATGCTTCTATGCAAGAGGCTAATTTTGAGTATTTGGCTTGTGGTGCAGTTATTTTATCTATTATGGTGCAAAGTTATTTCATCCTCACAGAGTGGAAGAAGAATACAGATTGATTTTTAGAGGAAAATCATCTGGCATCTTCTATCCAGTTATTAGACTAACAGTGAATATCCTGCTTCATCATCTAAGCACCTGACCTTTGAATCTTCATCACACATTGGAGCCTCAAAGTTTTGCCCTCAACCTCAGGGGACATTCAAATGAAGCTGTTTTCTGTCTCTTGGATGCAGTGCGGTTTCTTTAGGGAAGGCGTTTTGGCCAACTAGATTGTTAATCTCTTAAGGTTAAGACTACAGGTTATTTTATTTCACAAATTGAGTGTCAAGAATTTTTGATATCACTTGCACTCAAACTCAAGTGTGCATTCAGGTAACTTTGAAGGATGTTTAAACTGCCAGTTCCCAGGCCTCTCTTCTCCCCAAGGTTCTAAATGAGTGGTCTGAGATGAGCTTCAGGAATACGTTTTTATCAGGCACCCAAGTGATTCTCTTGCAAGAGGCCCATGGCCTCCAATGGCCAAATATTGTTATAAAGGATCTATATACAGGACATGTGTTGACAATCTCTTCATTTAAGATCGTATTAGCAGGTGCTCAGTGCACAATTATTGTGATCTCGTTTGAGGTTTTCCCTCACAATTGGGTCTCTATTCTTTTCCTATTAACAGCCTGGCACCTGAGAATTAAGTGTTTAAAACCTGGTCCATGGTTCTTAACTAAAGACTGTGTCCAAATCATCTCGGGAGCTTTGGGTTGGTGTGGTTTGAAAAATATATCTGAAGATGGTTTTGCATGTAATCCCTTCCCTCCTCCCTCATCACCAAATTGTCCCTCCACCCCAAGCCTACTGCCCAGACTACTAATTAACTTGCTGTGTGGTGAAGTTGCTCAGTCAAATTTGAAAGTTAGTATGCAGAACTGCAGGCTAAGGATACCATTTATTTTTGGTATCATTAATATATAATTACATGAGCAACATTGTAGTTATTAGATTCCCCCTATTTACAAGTCCCCACCACATACCCCATTACAGTCACTGTCCAGCAGCATAGTAAGATGCTTTAGAATCACTATTTGTCTTCTTTGTGCTATACTGCCTTTCCGTGTCCCCCCGTCCCGCTACATTATGTGTGATAATCATAATGCCCCTTATTTCCCTTCTCCCTCCCTTTCCACCCCACACTCCAGTCCCTTTCCTTTTGGCAACTGTTAGTCCATTCTTGGGTTCTGTGAGTCTGCTGCTGTTTTGTTCCTTCAGTTTTTGCTCTATTCTTATGCTCCACAGATGAGTGAAATCATTTGGTACTTGTCTTTCTCCACCTGGCTGATTTCACTGAGCATAACACCCTCTAGCTCCATCCATATTGTCGCAGATGGTAGGATTTATTTTCTTCCTATGGCTGAATAATACTCCATTGTATATATGTACCACCACTTCTTTATCCATTCATCTACTTATGGACACTCAGGTTGCTTCCATTTCTTGGCTATTGTAAATAGTGCTGTGATAAACATAAAGGTGCATATGTCTTCTTGAGACAGGGAAACTGCATTCTTAGGGTAAATTCCTAGGAGTGGAATTCCTGGGTCAAAAGGTATTTCTATTTTTAGTTTTTTGAGGAACCTTCATACTGCTTTCTACAGAGGTTGAACTAGTTTACATTCCCACCAGCACTGTAGGAGGGTTCCCCTTTCTCTGCATCCTCGCCAGCATTTGTTGTTCCTATTCTTTTCTATGTTGGCCATCCTAACTGGCATGAGGTGATATCTCATTATGGTTTTAATGTGCATATCCCTCATGATTAGTGATGTGGAGCATCTTTTCATGTGCCTGTTGGCCATCTGAATTTCTTTGGAGAATTGTCTCTTCATATTCTCTGTACATTTTTAATAGGGTTACTTGCTTTTTGTGTGTTGAGGTGTATGAGTTCTTTATATATTTTGGATGTTAAACCCTTGTCAGATACATAACCCCTTGTCATTTACAAATATGTTCTCCCATACTGTAGGATGCCTTCTTGTTCTGGTGATAGTGTCCTTTTCTGTACAGAAGCTTTTTAGCATGATGTAGTTTCATGTGTTCATTTTTTATTTTGTTTCCCTCGCCCTTGAAGGGATTACATGCAAAATCACCTCCAGATATATTTTTCAAACCACACATTTATTTTGTTTCCCTTGTCCCTTGCATGACAGCACAGTTACATGTGAGCATGGGCTGATTAGTCACTAATCCATTGAGATGTCTTATTTAAAAGGAACGAGTGAGTGGTTAGAGTAGTATGACCCTGAAGTAAGAACCAGATGCCAGATATAGATTCAACATAGCTACCCCCAGTCTCAATGGGCTCAGATCAATTATTCACAGCCTAAATGATGAACAAGATATTCGTAAAATAGGAGGTCTATTCCATACCCTTCCTACCACTACCTCTGCTCTCATACTCGACATGCATTCAGGAAAAAGTTGTTCATGTTTATATTCAAGAGATTTTTGCCTGTTTTCTTCTAAAAGTTTTATCATTTCATGACTTACATTCAGGTATTTGATCCAGTTTGAGTTTACTTTTGTGCATGGGGTTAGACAATAATCCAGTTTCATTCTCTTGCATATAACTGTCCGGTTTTACCAATACCAGCTGTTGAAGAGGCTGTCATTTCTGCATTGTATATCCATGGCTCCTTTGTCATTTATTAATTGACTGTATATGCTTGGGTTTATATCTGGGCTCTCTAGTCTGTTCCATTGGTCTATGAGTCTGTTCTTGTGCCAGTACGAAATTGTCTTGATTACTGTGGCTTTTTAGTAGAGCTTGAAGTTGGGGAGTGTAGTCCCCCAAGCTTTGTTCTTCCTTCTCAGAATTGCTTTGGCTATTCAGGGTCTTTTATGGTTCCATATGAGTTTAGAAGTGTTTGTTTTAGTTCATTGAAGAATGGTAATTTGATAGGAATTGCATTGAATCTGTAGATTGCTTTAGGCAGGATGGCCATTTTGACATTATTCTTCCTATCCATGAGCATGGGATGTGTTTCCATTTATTGGTATCTTCTTTAATTTGTCTCATGAGTGTTTTGTAGTTTTCAGAGTATAGGTCTTTCACTTCCTTGGTTAGGTTTATTCCTAGTATTTTATTCTTTTTGACGCAATTGTGAATGGAATTGTTTTCATGATTTCTCTTTCTACTGGTTCATCATTAGTGTATAGGAAACTGACAGATTTCTGTGTATTAATTTTGTATCCCACAACTTTGCTGAATTCAGATATTAGATCTACTAGTTTTGGAGTGGATTCTTTAGGGTTTTTTATGTACTATATCATGTCATCTGCAAACTGGGACAGTTTGATTTCTTCCATGCCAATGTGGATGCCTTTATTTCTTTGTGTAGTCTGATTGCCATGGCTAGGACCTCCAGAACTATATTGAATAAAAGTGGGGAGAGTGGGCATCCTTGTCTTGTTCCTGATCTTAAAGGAAAAGCTTTCAGCTTCTCCCTGTTAAGTATAATATTGGCTGTGGGTTTGTCAGACATGATCTTTACTATGTTGAGGTACTTGCCCTCTATACCCATTTTGCTGAGAGTTTTTATCAGGAATGGATGTTGAATTTTGTCAAATACTTTTCAGCATCAATGGAGCTGATCATGTGTTTTTTGTCCTTCTTTTTATTGATGTGGTGGATGTTGCTGATGGTTTTTCAAATGTTGTACCATCCTTGCATCCCTGGGATGAATCCCACTTGGTCATGGTGTATGATCTTCTTTGAATTCGGTTTGCTAATATTTTGTTGAGTATTTTTGCATCTGTGTTCATCAGGAATATTGGTCTGTAATTTTCTTGGTTTGTAGTGTCTTTGTCTGGTTTTGGTATTAGAGTAATGTTGGTCTCGTAGAATGAGTTTCAGAGTATTCCCTTCTCTTCTACTTTTTGGGAACCTTCAAGGAGGATGGGTATTAGGTCTTCACTAAATGTTTGATAAAATTCAGCAGTGAAACCATCTGGTCCAGGAGTTTTGTTCTTATATGGTTTTTTTATTATGAATTCAATTTCCTTGCTGGTAATTGGTCAATTCAGATTTTCTGTTTCTTCCTCGATCAGCCTTGGAAGGTTGTATTTTTCTAGAAAGTTGTCCATTTCTTCTAGGTTATCTGTTTTGTTGGCATATAATTTTTCATAGTATTCTCTCATAATTCTTTGCATTTCTGTGGTGTCTGTCATGATTTTTCCTTTTTCATTTCTGATTCTGTTAATGTGTGTAGACTCTCTTT